TCCAACAACAACAACAAACAGGTAGATTTGGGAGTATAAGCCAAATCAAAATCTCTTTTAATTCCTCCTTAATGAGAACAAACTCAAGATTCCATCTTTTAAAAATGAAAGGACTCCCATTAAGGAATTAAGGCCCTCAGTTAAGCACCATATCTAAGTCTTCAAGGCATTAAAAAATTTTAAAAAAAAATCATATGACAAGGAAAGAAGGTCAAAGGAGCCTTTCAATTTCCATAATCTTTAACTAAAAGTAAGAGATTACAGTAAAAGGGACACTTGCCAATATCACATCCCACAAGCACTGAGTACCAGTCAAGAGAACCTTCAGTAGGCGGTATGAAACGCAGTGCAAACTTGTTGGTGAGGGAGGCATACGTGATGAGTAATCCTTTCCATTTCATAGTAGGACGGGTATGGGATAGATGAGAGGCAAATCTACCATTTAAATCTGAGAAATTTAATAAAACCATAACAAAATAAACTGGTGAATACACAAAAAGGCCAGGGAAGCAAAGAGGAGGCGAAACAAAAAAATAGGAGTTAAATTCCTGCGGGAAGTGAGAGGTGAGGTGCAAGAGAAAAAACCAAACCCTAATTAGAATGTTGAATGCATTAATTATGTATTTGGAATTCCTTTTTTATAATGATAATTTATAGCTTTTGAATGATAAAATCCTATGGAGAGACTAATTCTCTTGTAGTTAGAGCTTGGTGACCTGACTTAACCATCATTGATAAGAAGTGACTAGTTATCTTTGTGCTTATTGCTACTCTTCTCAAATCCTCTAACAAACCTTCCGGACAACATCACCTAGACCCTAGTCACTCTCAAAACAAACTATCCTCAACCCAAGGTAACAAAATCACATCAAACCCTTCTAAAAGTTGTCAGCTTTGAAGAGGTGCACCCATACCAGGTCTTGTTCCCCATTTCTCCATACGCTCTTAAATCTTATAAAACTCCACCAAAAGCTCCAAATTACACCTTTATATCCTAACCTAGGCCTCCATATACATTTTCATTCATTTAGGTTTTATAAAACTTATTCCTTAAATAGCAAAACCAAAAAAGCCTAAACTAAGTTTGTCTTGATTACCTCTCTAAAAATCTTATCATTCTACCATAAATTCTAGTTCATACCTTCACATCCTAAAGAAATCATCCACAGCCATTTCCAGCTACCAACCCACTTTTAAGACCTTTCACCACTATCATGAAAGTTGAAAGCAATTCATGGAAGACTTGGTTATGATTAACTACTATGGAAATATTATGAATGGATGTTCACACAGTATCTTTCAAAGTTAGGTGTGAAGCTGAACAAATTTTATTCGCAATTATTCAAAAGATTTAACATTATGATGCGGGCCACTGCCGACGCCGACCGGCAGAGGGAGGGCTGGCTACCCCGCGGCGCGCGGAAACAGCCGGAACGGGCGCCGCACCGGCGCGCCCGTTTGATCCGCCGAAGCAAGGACGCGGAGCAGGACGGGGCCGTTCGGCTTGAGCGGAACCGGTCCATTTTTGGACCGGTTTGGCTCAGGTCTAGCCTGAGCTGGGCGGTTCAGTTTGGGCAGCCCACTAGTGGGTTTGGTTGGGTCTTTTGCTTGCTTTAAGTAGGGATTGAGGGGGGATTTCTAGGGGGATGCATTTGGAGTTTTCTCTTAGCCTCTAAGTTTCCTTCTCTTGTTTTTCTAGGGTTTGTAGTGGGAGACCTTGTCCTTCTCGAAGTGGACAAATTGTATCTTTCTTTTGTGTTGAACTTGCTTCCCTTTCAATACTAAATGGATTCCCTTCTCTTTTTTATGATTGTGCTCTAATTTTGAGAGTTTTCCTTCAAAGTTTTGGAGGGTTTGTGCCCTAATCCGAAAATCATCAAAGTGCACAACTCTAAGGATTTTACCGTGGAAAATATTTGCTTTTGATCTTGTTTTGTTCCTCTCATGCTCATTTGAGAGAAATTAGGGCAAAATCGAATTGGTGAAACCCTAGGGCGTATCACATTACTTCACAATGGCAAGTCACAACACTATTTTCAAAAAGAATAAAGAATTCTAACAACATGTTGGAGGATATCACTTTGTCATGAAAAATGACAAAAATCAATATAATTTAAAGTCAGTATGAATAATCATCTCTCCTTTCATGTTCTCTTTATAAACACCATACAAAGGGTAAAACCCAAACATGCCATTTGCAAGTGCTAATTTAAAAAAAAAAAATCCTTTGAGCAAATAAATTACAAGAGATGTAATTGTACGAATACGAATAGTTGAGACATATCATGGGGAGTTTCACAAATGTACACATATACTATAGCCGTGCTTCTTTTGCAATCAAACATGCTTCGGACAAAAAGTTACAACATTTTAATGTCATTCATTCACCATAAGTCATAACGGTGGAAAGATGACGAGTGAAATCCGTATGTATGCTTACAACTAAAACATTTTTCTATGCCGAAACACTTGACAAAGAAATCGATTAAATAAAGGCCAAATATGAGTGCATGATGTATGTAAACATGTGAGATACTTGCAAATTTGGTGGATAATCATAAGAAGTGTCATAAATGAAAACAACCTTCAAATTTCACATTTTCGGTTTTCACATAATAGTAATTCTAACTCGCAACGTAAACAAGCATCCTCATACAGTTTTTGACATTCAATCTTACTAAAAAAAATTTTTTCTCAAATAATAATTTATTCCCTCTACTTGCTATCAAATAAATAATTGGAAACAAGTCGGAGGATATGAAGACAAAATTATTGAATTTTAATTTATCACAATAGTCTTGTCACACAAAGGAATATTCACTTTAAGTAATACATTTCAAATTTTATATGTTTTTAGGTAAAGTTGGTGGGAATATTTTTGTTTAACACAAGGGATATCTTTACATTAGATTTCAGCACTGTTGCGTCCTAGAATATTCGCGGCGGTAGAGAAATATAAATTTTAACGTCTTAGCTTTGTACGAAGATCCAGCACACATACAGATAAAGAGAGGGTGGAGTATTCATAGGAGACACCAAGATTTTTATGTGGAAAACCCAAAAAAGGGGAAAAACGGGGTCTCGCCCAGTTTGAATGAATCCACTATTATTTGCAGTCGATCACAAATGAGGTCCTTCCTTGGGGGAAGGTCTTGGCTTGATGTAACAAATATAAATCATATTGAGTGTGTTACATGGTGGAAATAAGAAGAATCACTATTAATACATCTATTTGGTCGGTAGAATCATAGTCGGCGGGCGACGAATGTTAGAAAGACTGTTGTCCGACAATGGATGTCGGAAGGACCGTAGTCGGCAGGCTACAATAGTCAGAAAGATTGTTGTCTGGTAAAAGAGATCAGAAGGACCTTAGTCGGCTAACGACGGAGGTCGGAAGTTCGGTGATGGTCGGAAGCTCGGCGTCGAGTAGAAGTCCGACGAAAGTCTGGCGACTGGCAGAAGTCCGACGACGGGCAGAAGTCTGACGACGGGCAAAAGTCTGTCGTAGGGTAAAAATCTGGCGATGGGCGAAAGTTTTGCGTCGGGAAGAAGTCCGGTGAAAGTCTGGAGACGGGCAGATGTCCGACGTCGGGCAGAAGTCCAGCGACGGACAGAAGTCCGACGTCGGGTAGAAATCCAACGAAGGGCAGAAGTTTGACGTCGGGTAAAAGTCCAACGAAAGTCCAACGACGGGAAAAGTCCGGCGATTGGGCAGAAATCCGGCAACTAGCAGAAGTTTAGAGTCGGGTAGAAGTCCGACAACGGGCAAAAGTCTGACGCCGGACAGAAGTCCGGTGTCTGGTAGAAATCCGGTGACGGGTTGAAGTTTAGTGTCAAGTAGAAGTCCTATGAAAGTCCAGCGACGGGAAGAAGTCCGGCGATTGGCAGAAGTCCGGCGTCGGGTAGAAATTCTACGATGGGTGGAAGTTTGGCGTCGGGTAGAAGTCCAACGAAATTCCGGCGACAGGTAGAAGTCCAGAGATGGGAAGAAATTCGGCTGCGGGCAGAAATCCAGCATCAATCGGCTGCCAGGTGAAAGTCCAACGGTGGTCAAGGAGTCTCTTCCTTCTCTTCATTTTCTTCTTATTTTTTTTCTTACTTCCTTGCTTAATTCTAGCGTCAGTTGGATATCGTCAGAACTTCGGCGTTGGTCGGCTAATAGGTGGAAGTCTGGCGGTGGTCGAGGAAGAGTCTCTTCCTTTTCTTCTTGCTTCCTTGCTTCATTTTCTTCTCTTCTTGCATGGGCCTCTTTCTTCCCCCCTTTCGGGGCCTCCTTTTATGAGAAATGAGGGATCTATTTATAGTTTTCTGAAAGTGGCATGACCAATAAATAGGAGAAAAATCATGGATAAATTGGGAGTGGTTTGAATGGACGGCCGATGTTAAATCTCTTGATCGTGGATCGTTTATTGAGCATTTGAATGTCTTAATGATATCAAAATTCGGCGATCTTAGGCTTGTTGGATTCATCTCGTCGAACCGCTCGATTCGAATATAAGAATGTCATGTTTGGAAACTGTTTGGTAATCCAAATAATGGTTTGAACCTTTCGAATGTGCTTCGAGTTTTTGATTTGGACCCATTTGAGCTCGGATTGAGTTGAATTTTGTGTCGTTGGGTTCATATTTCTAAGACGTTCAGATCAACTGTAAGTTTGCTGAAATTGGAGTTCAAACGGTCTCCAAATTAATTGTTAAAGTTTCCAACTTGATTTTTGCCTCGAGATTTTTGCTTGATGAAGAAAAATTTTAAATGATATTTCAAGCATAAACAAAAGCATTTTGCTAAGGCCTTTTGTAGTGCAACTAGCATGCAATACATATGTAAAATGAGAGAAGAGCAAGTTTCATACACTAACATTTTCTTTACAATTTTTTTTTAGATAATGAAATAGGAAGGAGAAGGAGAATGAGGAAGATGAGGAGAAGAAGAGAATGTAGAGGGGAAAAGAGAAGAAAATAGAGAAGGAAAACAAGAAGAGGATCAGAGGAAGAAGTTACCTGAACACTAGAGAGGGCGGGGTCGGCTTGCTTCACGCGAGAGAAGGGCGACGGGTCGTGCGTCTCTGTCCAGTAGAAAGAGCTGGAGGGGGAGAGGGAAGAATGCGGCTGACTCGGGAGGTTGGGTCGTAGGTGAGGTCGCTGGTCGGTGCGTCTGGCTCGATCCGACAGAGAGGGATGAGGAGGAAGGACCTCGGCTAGGGCAAGAGTTTGAGAGAGGGGCCGCCTTCGTCTGGGTCGGTTCGGGTAAGAGAGACGAAGGAGGATGCACGGGCTGGAGATGGAATCCGATGGAGAAGAGGGGTTTCGGCTTGCCTTGAAAACACATTTAAATTAACTTAGAAGAGAATTGGAATTTAGCTTAAGCCAATTACGCTGGCTTGGGTCAAATCTGAATCAGCCCCGCAATCAATTTGAATCAAATGGAGTAAATCTGGTCAAATCGGGGTCGACATGGCTGATATGTGTTGATCGAAATCGATCGAGTGTAGTGGAGTCAAATTCAACTTGATCCGAGTCAATTTGAACTTCGTATGATTTGATTAATGCAATTTTAATGAAATCAAGTTCAAATTGAAAACTTGAATTTAACTCGTCGTGGCTCAATCGAGTCGATCAAGCACAGTTGAGCCCACCCAGGCTCTAATACTACTCAATTGAGGAGGAATATGCACGCTTGAGAGCCCAAGTGTGAAAAACGAGATCAACACATTAGACTATGAAGTTGTTGGTTGTTTGATAGAGCTTGGCAAGAGATGGGTTTGCAGGTTTCCATAGGGTTTTGAAAACTAGACCTACCGACAATTCGGCTAGGTTCGAAAACCGGATTCGCATTGAGCTGTCGGTTTGATCGAAAAAAACCATTGAAGTAGGAAGTTCTTGTATTCCGAGAATATTGGATAATTTCCTTTGTTTTTCCTAAACTAGAGAATGTCTAAGAGATCAATAATGGCTATTTTGTTATTTTTGGTCTGTAATATGTCATCTACAAAAATGAGTAGATATATTACAATATTAGTGCTAATTATATATATATATA